GTGAATTAATCTGCATGTAAATGCCTTTTGCTCATGGTCACTTACTACATTAAACTGTGGTCCTCCCACTTCTGGATACTAACTGTTTGTTAAATGTTCAGGGGGGGGGAAAGTAAGTCTAAACAAGGTAGTAAGGGAGTTGTCCTGGATGTTTGTGAAAATTCATGTAATCTGTTTGGACATAACTTTACACTTTATAGCAAAAAGTTTACCAAATTCTGTTCCATTACTTGGAACACAAATGAATCCCTCATGTTACAGTAAATACAGTTTACTGTAAATGAAAGTAATTTGCACTGCTTTGGTGGCTGGATGAGGATCTGATGAAATCTGGTTCAAGCTCATAAATTCTTGGAACAGTTCTGTTGTTTGGTGGTATTGTAGCTATGATGAGCTGTTACAAGGACTAGGGCAAAAAAAGGGCTCCTCCTTCATAATAGAGACACAGTTGCTTCCCGACATTCAACATGAATCCTTCTCTTCTCTTCATCACTATCAACTTCTTGATTGAAGGTATTTTTATTTTTTTTTTATCAAATCAGTATTTATTGCCGTTTAAATTTTAACATATTCATCTATGTTTCTTTGACATATATGTTCCTTTGACATCCATTATGGTGATTTGATTAGAGATCTAAAGCTTGTTTTTTTTTCACAGGAGTCTACCTCAGTAAAGAAAACCAAGTCAATCAGTCTCCAGCTGAAGTTCTGTTTCAACCAAACAGTAAAGTCAACCTGACATTTACCCATACAATTCCGAACTATGACACAATCCTCTGGTATCAGCGCTCACCAGGAGAAACTTCCCTGAAGCTGATTGGCTATGTGTATTATAAATCTGTCAATATGGAGTCAGAATTTAAAGATAATTTTCAAATAAATGGAGATGGAACTAAAGAAGCTCATCTTTACACCCAAAATCTGAGACACCCTGAAGACAGCGGAGAATATTTTGGAGCTGCAAGTATGCACAGCAATGAAGACAGTCGGTCTCCCATACAAAAACCCTCAGAATAATTCAGCTGATAACAACACCCCAACAGGAAACCAGAGATATGAGACACAATATGAAAGCTGGCAGAAGAAAAAAATTTGCAGACTTTAAATTCTAATTTAAAATCAATTAAGACTATGTAATGATTTTAATGAACTTTCTGTATCTTTAAGGGCCCCGTGCAATGCTTTCTTTTTTACGCAGATGACAATGTGTCTTTTTCCTGTGTTCCTCGTGAGCCTGTAATGTTGTCAATTAGCTTAAAACAAGTTCTAAGTACTAAAAAAACGTTCTTTTTTTAAAACGACTAAGTCATTCAATCTTCCTCTAATCACGAGTTTCATTAATCACATATTTCCACGTGGTCAGGTGGTCAAAATCCTATTATGGTCCATCTATACTGATCAAATAAACCAGCACGGAAAACACACAACTTCTAGGTTTTCCAAAGAGTCACTTAAGAAAGACCTGATTGTCATTAAGGTCCCTGGTAATAAAGTTATGCGCATATTTATACATTAGTACTGTTTAAATGATTTTAAGGTTCTATATAATATATACATTATATGAGTTGAGCGGAGTGGAGATGGAGGACGTGGGATTAGACATTGTCGTCCGACAACATGCAGTAATTTATAAATGTTTTAAATCAAGTTGGGTCCTGATTAGCCAGCAGCTGGGTCCGGATCCAGACCGCGGTCCACTAATCCGTGACCTCTGGGCAAGGGGATGCAATGGCCAGAGCCCCCCTGGCCACCCCTTTATATCTGCCCCTGTCTAAATATCTAAAAAAAAAAAGAAGAGAAGGGGTATGTTTGTGAGAATTGTGTCATAAATTAAATAAAAATTATTAAGAGTTCATTTTTTCTTATTGTGTATTTTATAAAAATAAAATGGTTGTTTATTGCTTTACTACATAATAGAATAGAATAGAAAAGAATAGAATATCGTTTATCGTTCCACAATGGGGAAATTCTGGTGTTACAGCAGCAAAAAGAGTATAGAAAAAATTATAACACAAATATAGACCTTAGAAAAATGTATAAGAATAACATAATAAAGAACGTTAGGATAAAAATAATACTGTGCTGTAAAGTGTTTAAACAATATAAAACTGTGCACCTTGAAAATAAATAACCAATATACAGCTATTGACATTTTTACAGTAATGCATATTTGAAAAAATAGCAGCAACATCAGAGATGTGCAAACATGACATCAGCATGTTATTTAACTGACTAAGGTAGAAACTGTGCAAACTATGTACTATATTTTAAACAGTTTCAAAACAGAATAAGCCAAGCTGCCATGCATTATGTGTAAATCCATTACTAATGGACCAAGAATTATGTTAATTCGCTACCATTTAAGAATCAACACACGGGTGACTTAAGACTTACAGTAGGGCCGGATTTATCAAGATCCAATTTTGCGTGCAGTAATTTGCGCTCCCAAACTGGAATTTTGCGCGAGGGGCTGAA